ATCAAAGGATGCAATCTTGCAAGGATTACCTTGGGCGACTCTGGGAAGCTGGCGCTGAAGAAATATCTGGCGATGACCAGGAAAAATCTACGTTTAACAGTAAAATTTCTGACTGGCCACTGTCAACTAAGGAAACACCTCCATAATATTGGGCTGGTGGACACACCTCTATGTAGGATGTGTGAACAGAAAGATGAGACTGTCAGGCATGTCCTATACGAGTGCCCGGAGTTATGGTCAATAACAGAGTATGTGTTCGACGAGTCTTGGCCTACACCTGCCGATATAAAGGAGATATCTCCCAGTGACCTGAAACTATACAATAGGTTACTCCATGAACTCGAAGACTTCGGTTTGAGAAATTTCAAAAAACGTTTGAAAGTCGTCCTCCGAGCAAGGTAATGATGTATTTACTATCTGATGACTCTTGCAATGATTTTTGCCAGAGGTTTTTGTGATCTTATAGATTAAGTGTGTACGTCCAAGGATGGATTTGAAAGCAGCTTCAATATCTGAATCCCGCCCATTCATCATACTTGTTGAACATGCATTTGTTAACCATTGAATGTTATCATTATTATTATTGTTATGTAGATATGATAGTTCAAATATATCATCATCGTCTTTCATTACAATCATTATCGTTATCGTTATTATAATTAAAGTAATTAGGGGGTTTATTATAACGAATAACTTAATTGTTGTTATCGTTAAAATTAGAGATAATACACTTATATTTACTGTACCTATAAAAAAAACATAACTTGGAATGCATATTTTGTCAGACTGTGTGAGCTGACTACTTTCCAATAGAGGACACTGTTTGTTCCAATTCTGGTGTTAGAAAAAACATGTTTTTTCATTGATAGGTCATGATATTTTGTGCTCATTGAATACCAAAAGTCCAGTATTCAATGTGTCAGTTCTGTGAAACGGTGAAATTATTTTATTCTGGTTTCGTGTAATCATCATGTGGCAATTACCATGTGATGTGTGTATGTGATGTTTCTGTGAATGACGATTTCGTGAACTCATCAAATTTGATATTTCCCTAGCTAAAGGTGAGAAGATATTTTCAAAATTCGAACGAGATGAGAAATGTCCAGCGAGTGGCAACTTTGTTGCTCGTAAACTGACTTTCTATGTTCCACATTTGATAGATGAGAGAATAGAATCGACCTGTGAGTTGAGAGGAACAAGGCATAGAAATAAAATTTTCTGAGTCTAATATCGCAACTTCTCGTCGAGAATTGTTCAAGTACGAGTCTTTTGAAGACTCGAGAAATCTGTTGGGAGCGTGAACATCAAATACCTCCGCCTCATTATGAATGTTGCTCAACCACAAAACCACAAGTTATGCCATTATTATTCTGAGGACACGTAAAAATTCATTTGTTCACAGTTATCTAGTAATTAAATGATTTTTGTTAGGGTTGAATTGTCTATAACCGTAAATTTCCGATAAGATTTTGAATTTGAGGACATTATTAAAAAATGCCATGTATTTATATCAGAACTTGAAAACCACCCATGATAATAATTCAACAAACATTCAACACTATGAACTTCAAAACACTTGTCCCTATTACATTTGTATTACATTCATGATAGAATCAGATATCATTCTTTCATTTACTATATTGTGTAGCAACCTTCTGAATGATATCTGATTCGATTCAATAACGAATGTTTGTAGTACAAACTTAATAAAAAAAATATTTTCTGTAATCATTCAAAGACATTTTGTGTGTTTTTGAGATATATAACCTTCCGCAATTTGCAAACTGAACAACGCTAAATCATAAGACAAATATACTACAGTATAATGAAAGTCAAACTGGTCAAATAGACCATTATGTTCTCCTCAGCAAATTGATAAAATTAGGACTCTCTAACCAACTGCTTACTCTAATTGAATCATATCTAGTTAAAAAAAACAATTCGTCGAATATGAATCTTTCAAATCAGCCCAGTATGTAGTTGAATCTGGGGTACCACAAGGTTCTAATCTTGGACCTCTTTCATTTTTAATTTTTATTAATGACTTGGCAACCACTTTGAATACTATATTATAAAATCGACGACATTACAGACTGCCAATGTGTACAACATGAATTATATTTATGCATACCATGATGTGATAATAATCGTCTACTACTGAACGTATCCAAATGTCAAATAATATCATTTACAACAAAAAAGCGAACTTTTATATACAATTATTCAATCAACAAAACTGCAATCAACCGCGTACATGAGATAAAATATCTTGGTATAACATATGACTGTAAATTAACATTTACAACACATATAAGGAATATGACTGCTTATGCAAAGAGGATGCTTGGATTCATTTACAGAAATGGCAAAAGCTTCAAAGGTATTGCCACCTTAAAATTGCTATATTTTGCGTATGCCAGATCTAAATTAAAGTATGGCTCTGTATTATGGAATCCAGTTTACGACTACCAAAAAATTGAGAGTGTGCAAAGGAAGTTCCTAAAATACTTGTGTCTAAAAGTTGATGGTCAATACCCCACGAGAAGCATCGATCATTACATTCTGTTGACATGATTGGATATGACATCTTTGGGAGATTTATCCTTGATACAGAATTCCTGCATAAATTACTAAACAACAATATTGACAGTACGGTCCTTTTACCTGAGATCAATTTCTTAGTACCAAGAAGTGAAGGTCGACACAATCTGAAATTCTATTGCGAAGCATCACGCACAAATGTTATGCTACGATCACCATTAAATTTTATGTGCAGTAGCTTCAATAAAATCTGTGAACATTGCGATATTCATTTCGACCCTCTGAATGCCTTGGCATCTTGTATCCACAATCACTTTTATTAATACTATGAATAACATTTGTGTCAGTACTGCTACATTGCAGGATTTGTAATGTTTTGTGTTATGTACTCAATTTTTCATTCCTCTGTTGAAATTCTGCTTATACGAATATTTTATATATACTTTGTTTCAGCATTTACTTTTATACATTTCTATATTCCATTATTTTCAATTTTCATTTCATATATACTCTGCAATTATAGCATTTCCTGTAACTGGGTACTCCCGTACCCAGTTACGTACCCAGTTACTCAATTTTTGGGTGGTGCTTACCACCTTTCTCAAGACAATATGTTTTTATATCACAAACGGAACTACTTACTGAAGAAAATAAGTATCTCTACAAAATATAAAACATTTTTTTTTGATGGACGTGACTGACAGTGACAAAAAATTTTAATTCAAGTATACATTTGCCTGAGATTATTTAAATCAGTTATTTTATTCATGATTCTATTATCATTATTAACGTATACCATTTCCAGAAAAACTCTCTTCAATTGGTTGGATTCTGTACAAAGGACTGTGGAATTTTTGTAATCCATTTTATGATCATTATCATTAACATATTCAGATTTGATATTCTGTTTATGTTCCTCCTGCAATAACTTTTATGAGAAATGATGCGACATTTTAGAGTTCTAGATTTTTGTCCAGTATACAATTTGTTACACTTGGTTACCAAAAGAAAGAAATACAATTGCTGAGGGCTCCGTGCATTTGTATTCATTTCTTTTGGCAACCGAGTGTTACCCATCCTTACACTAGGATGCATCATACTGACGAGGGGTCAAAAGCCCGAAACACGTGTCCATGATTGCAATTTCTCCAGTGCTATATTCAATTATTAACTTCTTTATATCAAGACACTCAACTTCATATTTGTATGATTTCCTGGACCGCATGTCACGCAGGAGCTATAGCTGCCTCCGTGGTGATTTTTATATTTTCTTGTAAACACAAGATCTATCAATCATACCACAAATATGCGGCTGACTTCTGTTGGGCTCTGGCTGGCACCGTGGGAATTACCAGCTTCCCCGATTTTCTTCCTAACTTTTCAGTCTTTATTGGCCTCAGGTGTCAGACCTTAGGCAGATATCAGTGACATGATAGACGTAGAACACAGCATAAAATTATTAATCTCGACTTATTATTATTTTTTGTTTGCTGATGATCTGAAGATGTTTAAAGTTATTCATGACTCAACTGATACAGAATTATTAAAGTACGATTTATGTAACTTTGTTCGCTGGTGTGATATGAATCTACTGCAATTAAATATAAACAAATGTCAAAAAAAAATTTTTTCGAAACAAAAATCCTATTAACCGGCCATATAAAATCAATCAATCAGAATTGAAAACAATAAACACAATCAGAGATTTGAGAATCACTCTCGACCCAAAAATGTCATTTAAACCCCATATTGCAAATATTACTTCTAAAGCACTAAAAATGTTAGGTTTCATTTTTAGATCTGCAAATGAACTATCTCTCACTTCAATAAAAATCATATATTGTTCAATTGTTAGATCAATAATCGAATACTATTCCATAATTTGGTGCCCTTCATATCATGTGGATATTGATATGCTTGAAAGTGTTGAAAATAAGTTTTTGAGGTACTCTGCATATAAACTGGGATATCATATTGGTGAATATGACTATAAAATTATATTGGACATTGAATATTAGAATCAGATCTCACACTAATTCATAAAATAATCAATGGTAGCATCAATTCCCCGGAACTTGTCGAAATTATAACTTCAAATGTGAATCCAAGGAGAACAATAAATTCGGAAATCTTCAAAGTACCTTTTGTCGCACCAACTATGGCCGGAAACTCAAACCTAGCTTAGATTACTGTTAAATACATGTGTGTGAAGTTGTTAATTATTTTGTAAAAAATAGGCATTGCCGTAAATAAATAAATAAATAAATCCGAATAAGTCACTTCTGACTCATTCATCTCTGTTTCTACGTACTGGTGAATTTGTATTTTCAGTATCAGAATTGCACCCGTGCGGAGCCGCAGCGGGTCGCTAGTGTTTTACAATAGTTCAACACGGAGCAACACTGCCAACTAGATAAAAGCGTCAGCTGTTCAAACTAACAGTATTTTCTTCATTCCAGGCGTCCGGACCCGGCAACAGCACCACCCAATCCCAGCAGTACTACCCCGGCCTGCCGACGGGCTTCGCGCCGCAGCAGTTCCATTCCAACCTCCAGACCGGGCACCAAATGCCAACCCATCTGGGGCATTCGCCACCTCCGAACCCATCCTACTACAAAGACGAAAGGACGCAGAGGCAGCATAACAAACTCAAGAAGAAACTACACGAGAAGCAACAGAAGAACGACAGCCTGTTACCTAGGAAAGACTTGGTGAACGGCATGAAGAGATCCGGACTGAAAGAAAAGGGGATGAACAGCGTGGGGACGAGCGAGGACGGGGAGGAGAGCAGCGTTCCCGACGACGAAGACTACCACGTGTATATCACAGATATTTTATCGTCCGTCCAGGCTCCGAAGGTATGTATCGAAAGAGAACAGTGGTGTTAATTTGTACGGGGGTTTCTTCAGATTTTTTTTTATTTTTCAACATAGTCTCCTTTCAACTCTCCATACTTCTCCGAGCGATGCTTCCATCTCTTTAACTCCTCCAAATAGTACTCGGCGTTTTCCTCTGCACAATAATTGTTCACGAAGGTGATTGCAACTTCATTCAACAAAAATATCTGCCACTCGTGTTCGCGAAACGTTGGAATGCAGTTCCAAACTACGATGAGACTTTCAGTGTTACTATCTTCATTCGGGGTTGAAGGCCGTCGTAGTTTAGAACTGCAACCTAACGTTTCGCCAACACAAGTGACTGGCTTCTTCAGATGTTTATTCTTCTTGATGATTCGCATTCATCGATGAATTATCAAGATGAATGCACTTCTGAAGAAGCCAGCCACTCGTGCTGGCCAAAAGTTCCGAACTAATACGGCCTTCAAACCTGAATGAAGTAAGTAACACTATAATAGGAACTACACGTATTACAACTGAAAAAGTTGAGTCTTGTTATCATGGTAAAACAATTTTTGAAAATCGTCTTCATCATCAACAGCTTCTCATGTGTTGCCATTAGAACCGAAGACAATGGGCTAGTTTCATGCTATGGGAAATGATCCGAGCGATCTTATTATTGTATATTTATTCGTTTGNCCTTCCTCTTACCCCCTATATCGCCCCCTAGATCGCCCCCTAGATGACCGTTAAATTTCTCTCAGTCCTCACCTTGAAGTCTTTTTCCTCATTAATTTTATTTCTCTCATTTCCCGCCTTTTTTCTCTTTATATTCTGTCATTACTCTCTTGTTTCATTATCCTCTCCTGACTGTTCTCCTTTTCTTGCCTCTCTTCTTTTTCTATCTTCTCTTACTGTATCATCTCTTGCAGGATTCTTTCTATTCCCCCTCCTTATCCTGTGACCATTTTTTACTGTAACCATTTTTCCTTCTCCCTACTTGTATTTCTTTTTTTACATCCCCCTTTTTCTCCTCTATTCTTTCCATCCTCTTTCCTTCCCGTCCTCTTTCCATTCTAGTTTAATTTCCCCTTCTTGCTTTTTCTTTCTCTTCTCTTCACTCTTTTCGTATTTCCTCCCTCCTTTCAGTTTCCCTACTTTCCTTACCCTTCCTCTATTCCCCCTCTATCCTCACTCTCAGTCCTCACTCTGAAGTATTTTCCCTTATTTATTTTCTCCATCTCATCTCCTGCCTTTTCATCTCTCAATATTCTGTCATCACTCTCTTGTTTTATTATTCTCTCCTGTCTCTTCCCCCTCTTTTTTTTGGTCTCTCTTCTTTTTCTCACTTCTCTCTCACTGTCTTATCTTATACAGGATTCTTTCTCTTCTCCCTTCTTTTTCTGTATCCCTTTCTTCCTTTCTGATCTCTTTTAGTTCACCCTTTCTCTTTTCCTCTTCTGTGCTTTATATTTTCCTTGCTGTGTCTATTCCTTCACTATTTTTTCGGTCCTACATCCACCGCTATTCTAACAACGTCTATGTATACACTATCTTGTATAGTTTCCAACTATTTGGTAAACTCAATGTATTAATTATTTTTCATCAACAGGTATCTGAACTAACTTCCCGCAGTGCCTTATTGCAGTGGGCACCGCCTGTCCGGCTTTCTGAATCGGCGAGCAACGACGGCCACGAGAATGACATCTCAGAGTCCGATTTGAGATACGAAGTCCTTCTCAGCGATAAGAGCAAAGAAATGAAATTCAAGTCGATATATAGCGGACCTTCGATGTCTTGCCGAATCAGAGATTTGAAACCTGGCCAAGAATACTCTGTATGTCTTCAGGTATGTCGGCTTTTTCACCATTTGCACGTTAAACATTTACAAGGTGAGCCAATGAGAATAAAAAATTGAGAAAAAATCTCTCGGATTTTGATTATTATGTTCAAGAGATGCATTTCATGCATTTATCAACCTAGAAAAAATGCCTTCCACCTTTTAAATTTTGAAAAGGGTTTCGGAATAAATCAACTGCTACCTTTTTGCAGTACCTAGATTTTAATTTCAAAACGGCATATTTGTATGATTAGTTTTTTCGCATATTCCCACTTTTATAATGGACATTTTGACTATAATCTCGAAATTGCAAGATTATTCTCAAAGTTACGTCTTGAAACTCGGAATCCCGGCGTTAAACTTTCAAGTTCAAAACTAATATTTGCACTTTGATGTCAGATTGTGAGGTTTTTCTCAAAATAACGTCTTTATGGTTAGAAATTATAGCTCCAAACTTGAAATTTTGGCTTGAAACTCGGATTTACGACTTCAAACTCAAATTTACGGCTTTTAACTCAAAATTACGGTAGTAAACTCAAAATTTTGCGTTTATAATTGAAATTACGAATTGAACCTGAAACTTCTGAGATTATTTGAAAAAATACGACTTCATATTCGAAGTTACGGTTTAAAACTAAAAAGTGGCTTCGAATTCGACATTACGACTTCAAACTCGAAGTTATGGCATTAATTACGGCTTCAAACTGGAAATTATGGCTTTGAACTCGAAATTAAGGCCTAAAATTCGAAACTACGTCAGTGAACTGAGATTTACCACTTCTTACTTCAAATAACGGCTTCAAACTCAAAATTACTGTTAATAACTCGAAATTTCGGCTTTAAACTCCAAATTGCAGCTGTTGACTCAAAATTACGGCTTAAAACTCAAATTACGGCTTTAAATTCGAAATTACGGCTTTAAACTCCAAATTGCAGCTTTAAACTCCAAATTGCAGCTGTGAACCCAAAATTACGGCTTTAAACTCGAAATTACGGCTTTAAACTCAAAATTCCGGCTTCAAGCTCCAAATTGCAGCTTTAAACTCCAAATTCCGGCTTCAAACTCCAAATTGCAGCTTTAAACTTCAAATTGCAGCTTTAAACTCCAAATTGCAGCTTTAAACTCCAAATTGCATCAATAAACTCGAAATTACAACTTTCAACTCGAAATTACGGCTTTAAACTCAAACGTACGGTTGTGAACTCGAAAATTCGTGTTCACAATTGAAATTTTGACTCAATCTTGAAATTGAGTGACAGCTGGTTAACGGAAAAACAGATTTTCAACTGATAGAAACTGAAAGTCTTTTAAGTTTTAATTATGGCAATAAACTCTAAATCACGGCATTCAACTCTATATCTCGTATTCAAAGTTGTAATTATAATCTCGAACTATCAATTTCGACTTTAAATTAGAAATATCTTATTTCAATTCACAAGCAAATGATTGAAACAATACTCATTTCAATACAGTTTTCGAATATAGAGTTGTACTTTCTATCTTTTCTAAACTATCAGATTTTGAAAAACTATGCAAATATACTGGATGCCCCATCGGAAACAGTTCGCATTCAATTTATTTTGTCTCGGTTTTGGCAAACAATGAGTTTTTTCGACTTCATCTTCCTACCTCCAGAGTCACCTCATATTTGTTTTCAAATAGGAAAAGTGGTGATACTTCCATTGAAAATTTGTTTTGGATTGAGTGTATTTTTGTGCCTGATCAATTCAACAGTTTTTCCCGTATGCTTTTTCCTTTCTTTTGTGACTATCACGAAACCTCTTATCTTTCAAATATACACCTACTTCATCATCCGTTCCACTTCCGCAGGTACACCTGGACGAACTGCAAAGCTCAGCCATCGACCTTCAAGGCTCCGCCACCGATCCCATCAAATTCGTCACACCACCCTGCGAGCCGGACCAGCCTCAGCCTCCGAAACTCGTCAACCGAACAAAGAACTCGCTGCAGCTGAAATGGACGGCCGGTGTCGACAACGGCTCTCCTATTCTCCACTACGTCCTGGAGTACGACGAAGGCAAGGGCGGTGACTTCGTTGAATTCTACAGGGGTCGCAGTAGGACGCACACCCTCCAAAAGCTGCAGCCGGCAACGCTGTACACCTTCAGGCTGGCGTCCGTCAACGAGGTCGGCACTAGCATTTACTCGGACTGCGTGGCGTATAACACGACGGAGATGGTACCGACGCAACCCCACCCTCCGACGCTCGTAGAAGCCGGCGTCCAGTCGCTGCAGCTGCAGTGGCAGAAGAGGCCTCGGGACGACGAGTTCGTCCTACAGATGAACGACGACCAGACCAAGTACGGTTACATCACCATCTACCTGGGGCCGGAGGATCAGCACATTCGGAGAGGGTTGCAGCACTCCAGCAGTTACTCCTTCAGGCTGAGAGCGAAGAACGATGGCGGGTTGTCGCCATGGTCGGAGGAAGTTTCTTTTTGCACCTTACCGGATAGGCCTTCGAGGCCTTCCAAGCCCGTGGTGAAGGGTAGAATACACGCGCACTCTTTCAAATTGAAGTGGGATCCTCCGAACGATACCGGTGGAGTAGAGATTCTTAGGTGAGTTCTCTTTTTTCAAGAGGAATGTATTACCAAGCCCAGACAATTTCGACTCTTTTGAACCCATCAATATTTGAAACATGACCGACATTTTTGTCTGTAGAACTCCCTACTAATTAAATTAAGATCCTTTATCAAACGTAGAAGAGACCATTCAGAGGACCACTTTTTATTTTCAATATTCTAAGTTGTATTTTCATGACTTCTGCTGCTACTCACACCAAACCGTCACTTCTTCAGGTACATTTTAGAAGTAAATTCAGGTAGCGGTTACGAGATCGTCTACCAAGGCAAAGAAACGGAAGCAGTCTGTGATAAATTAACTCCAGGAACGACCTATCAGTTGCGAGTCAGTTGCGTCAGCGTTGGAGGATGTAGTAACGCTTCTGATCCATGCACCGTGACAACAGATGCAGTCTGTCCTGGTCAGTGTTCACTGCCTAAACTAGTAGGAAAACCATTGCCAAACTCTGTCTCTCTACGATGGGTAAGTTTTAAACTCTAGTGATCAAATCATTCACCAAAGACTCATCAATTAAATTTTTTTCCTGGGTTCCATATAAGGTACATCAATGAAAAAAAGTTTATTTCCTATATATGGGTGCGGTTCAAATACCTTCATTAAAAACATTTTTTGGAACTTCTCCACGGTAGCATAAAAAAATATATAACATTGTTACTTTTTGCTAAACTTCAAGTTACAACCTGTTCATTATTTATTACCAAAACCATGATGGAGGGTTATCCCTTAGGTGGTTGCAGAACCGTCGGTCTGGCAAGGCTGTCAGCCGTTGAATATCTGTCATCTGTCATTTATTCAGTGACAGGTTTGCCATTTAAGAATATGGGTCATTCAACAACAGAAGAACGAGTAAAAATAATTAAATCTCACTGCAGATGTGGTGGTTCAAAAGTGATCACTTTTCCAGCATCGCAGGATTATTATGATCGTCATAATCGACCTACTATGCAAGGAATTTTCAAGATTTAAAAAACATTGAAGACATCTAGAGAGTTAGAGATGGGGTCGACCCCTGTTCGTCATCGCAATGTGCGCACTAGCTAGAATATCGTTTCTGTTAGTGGAAGTGTGACGGATAATGTAAACTTGACCACTACGTTCTCAGCACTTGGGCTTACAGCTCATTATGGTACAATTTGTATTTGGATTTACAACTTCATCCATATAAAGTCTAACTCACACAACAATTAAAGCATGCTAACAATTCATAACTCCCAATAAATGCTGATTGGGTGCTAGAGCAACAGGCTTTGAAAGCTGATTTTTCCAACCTAATTTTCTTCAGCGATGAAGCTCATTTTTCACTCTCACACTCGGTGGTTACGTCAAAAAGTAAAATCGTCACATATAGGGCTCAGAGTACCCAGAAGTGATTGTGGAATAGCTATTCCATCTATAAAAAGAGGCTATTTGGTGCGCTTTATGGCCTAGGGGTGTCATTGAGCCGCATTTTTTCCAAAAATGCTCTGGAAGAACTGTTACCATCAGTTTATAGCGCAATTGTTGTATGATAACCGACTTCCTTGAGGACGATATGTGGTTTAACAAGATGGTCCACGAGCCACACAACACAACCCACATAAAGGCAATGTCGAAGCATTATAATGAAATAAAAGTTTCATCGAAATCATAGCTTTATGTATGTTTATTTTAATTTCACTTTCGAAACCGAAAAATGGGTAACCCGTTATATAACCTCTCCATTTATAAAACCAAGACAAAATACCAAACAGCACTTCGGGCTGTTTCTGAAATGTTCATCAACGATTCAATCTTGAACAGCCAAGGAAACCAGCAGCCAAATCCCTTATAGCTGACCTAATGCCAGTTCTATTCCATTAAAAACACTCGGAAGAATCTTCATGAAAGTCCAGCAAAGTTGATGGTTTCAACTTACTGTTTTGATATTTTCTACTCCTGAACTGTCACCAGTCAGCATGCTTCTAACCAATCCCTGTAGAAAATACTGATCTTCCAATGAGTTACAGATCGATTGGGCTGGTAACCATAATCTCCGTAGTTATGGGGACAGTATGGTTATCAAGCTGCTGGAATAAGATATTGAGGAACCAGCAATAGGGTTAACACTTTTCTAGAAGTACACACTATCGTTGACAGTGGCTTTAAAAATATCCAAAACAATAACAGATTTCCTAAAAACTTTTCACGTTTTGCCAAGGATTAACCCTATCATTTTTTTCGGGTAGCTTTCGATACGTGGTGGGGCCTGGCTGGCCTGGTGAAAATTATATTATGAAGAACCACACATCTTGTGGATTTCATTGCTACCAAAATGCAGATTCCTCCTCTAGCAGAAAAACTGTCAAGCATCAAATGAGAATTTGATGAGCCACTAGAATTGAGATCACTTGCCATTTCTTCTACTCCCATTTCTGCTCATTATATGTTATCAATGTATGTTAACTTTCACGTCTGGCCGTGGTCTGCAGGTTTCATGCCGCCTGAAGTTTCGTCTACGACTGCGACAGGCATTACCATCGCTTTCGATAATGGCTGCGCAGTTGTAGACAAAACGTTTGACATAAAATCCTGCAGACCACAGACAAAAAAACATAAATTAGCTTTGACACAAATATATGTCATTTTCAAAAGAGCTATCAATAAACTGCCATCTGAAAATACTTTATTTCAGCATAGGGTGTAACTATAGAACCTGAACTGAGGCTATTTATTCTAGTGTATATGTATATTATTATATTACTGTGTGTATATGAACTTACATTATGAGTACTGAATAATTAGAAATATATTTATCCAGTAGTATTTCTTAACGTCCATTTATTTCAATGAACTTGTGAATTTGCTGATAATGAAAATTATTGCTGATATATACTTGTTACTCAAAATATGTATAGCGTTTCTGAACATTTTAATCTATTTTTGGGTCAGAGGTGAATATAGTATTTCATAATTACTGAATGAACTTGTTTTGAAATCGTTAATTGAAAAAATGTCATTATCGAAACTTCATTTCCTGGAAAGCCTGATAAAATTATATTATACACGTGTATACAGTTGGTATATGAATTATCCCACAGCTTTTTTATATCTTTCTTTCGTTTCAGTATGTTCTCTCTCCACGATAATATGAGGAACTAGAAACAGGTTTCTTTATATTTAATTTATGATCCAGATGCATTTTCTAGACATTCCATTGTTGACTTATCCATCATTTTTATTGCTCCTTAACTTTGGTAAACCTTGATGGTCCTTCCAAATATTTAACTCAGCTTCCTAAATCACATCTGTTACTTTGATGTATTGTGTAATTATACATTTTGCAGATATTTTATTATTTCATTCTTACCAAGTCCTTAGCTTCCTTTCATTCGAAGAAATAATCATCCCACTTACCCTCTACTACTCACCCTGATTATCGCTTTGTTATATTTTCACACCATTTCCTCATCTGATACATTTCTCTTGTTTCTACACACTTTCCAATACTCTACCTTTGTTCTTGTTTTTTGAATTATTTTGTTTCAAAAGTTCTGTCCCCATTTTATCATTTTTAGTGAATGTATTTCATATGTTGTCAAAAATATTTATAGATAAATTTCGATATTTCAGTTCATTTTTGTAACAAAAAATGTTCAATTAATGAATTGAGAAAATATCATTATTGTTTTGAACCTGACCTCGAAGTTCAGCCCTGTATAAATTCTAATAGACGCTTATCAGGTTGAGTCTAACTGCATTTGTTAACTTCATTGAAAAGGGTCAGTTATGAGTGAATTATCTGAATTGTAGGTAGAGCCTGATTACAATGGAGGAGCTCCAGTACTAGATTATGAGGTAGAAATGACAGCCGCAGCTACCCAATCCATCGTTTACAAAAACAAGGAGAATGAATGCACTGCAGACAATCTGAGTCCCGGATGTGACTACATCTTCAAGGTGAGTCTACAAATCACCATAAAATAAATGTTCCAAATCGTAGGTACTGATGACGTCTCAATTTTCTTAATGAAGAATCGACAAATTCAGAAGTTACATGCAATAAAATACTAAATTTCAACATTATGACAACATCAATTTTTGTGTTAACAAAATTATAGCAAGGAAAGTTTATTCAGAATAATTGAGACTGCACATGAAACCAGTCATGTGGCAGAAATAATAAATATTTGTCAAAACCAAAAAAATATTGATTTGGTTCCGAATATTCTGAATAGTGACACAAAAGGTGCTACCTTCAATTAGCTCCCAGCTCAACTTTTGGAAGCAAATCTACTTTTCAAGTTTTGCAACAAGTGAATTGTGAGTATTCAAGGTCTTGCCATGAATCTGCATATTTATTTAAGTCTTGCTTGTTATCCTCCAAGAAGACCAAAAACGTTGCATCTCGCATAAGAGTGTAATAATTTATAATGAACTGTCAGCTCATTACACAAAAAAATGTCGGAAAACTTTCAAAGAAAGGAAGAAATAAATTAATTTCAGAATGAACTTTTTATACAAAGATATGTAGATGATGTAAATAAGTACTTTCTGACACGAACTGGAATAAACAACCCCTTTTTGTATGAAACTGAAGAAGTAGAAAGCCCAAACTTCTCTTTCCCTGAAATAATCTCTCTTCTTTCAATTTAGAAAAATAATAATTTCAATTTTGCAATTTATCTTCGCACATATTTATATGTCATCAAACACATTTTAGTTCGAATTTCCCTGCTGGAATGAGCCAAAATTTTTTGAGAAAGTGAAAATTGATTTTAAAATTTGAAAGTTAAATAAATATGTCACATCAAATCTATACTTAGGATGCGTACTTCCACAATGAGATGTCATAGAGAATTTTCAAATCAATTTTTCTGTAATTAATCTCTTCTTTCCCAGAGACTCAAAACTGAAATGCTCTGCAGAACAAGCATATTGACAACACTATAAACGTGATAGTATAGAATGAATTATGGATTCCCTCCGTTTCTATTCCTTTCTAAAATTGTATACGAATACAATACAAATTTTGCGTATGCAATAAATCTTTCAGTGTAACAATTTATGATTCTGTAAGCTTTTCTGAAATTCGAGAGGATCATTACCGAAAGAAAAAAGAGCAAAACACTAGAAAAACTATAGGTTTCAAAGATATTTTTTGCTGAACTCACTACGGAATATTATATATGTGTTACTTTAATAAAAACTCAAAATCTCTCATCTAAAAGTATTGACAGAAATAATGCTATTTGGGTGAAAATACTAGTCCACTAATCAAAAGCGAATGAGTTCTCTAGGCCAATCATATGATTTTGCTGCGAGGGAGAGAATTTGACAGAGAAAATAGAAAAGTGTTAACTGTTCTCCTACAAAGTGAAAGTGACTTTATAATTTCGTTAAAGTTGTGTGTGAAGTTGTAAAGCAGTTCAGTTTGGTCCCCCAATTAATCATTATAATGATTATTATATATTTATTTAAAATGAACTGAATTAATTTTTAATATTTTTCAATCAAATAAATGATTTCTTCAATTTTTCACATCTAGTAGCTAAAATGAAAGGTTGAATAACATTTAATACATACACAGAAAAAAAGTCCACTACCAAAACAAATTCACTGATTGATTCAGCAATTCGGAGTATAATTTTCCATTTCTCTGCTAGTTTCCGATCTTAGAGAAAGCTATACTGGGTGGGACACATTTTTTGATGAATTATCATCCCACTGACTTACTGAACAACACATTCCAATTCTTCGAATCATTATAAAGAACTGACTCCTTCATTTGTCTCAAAGACTTTTTATAAGTAATAAATGGAATAATTAAGATTTGAATATTCGTGACTACAATTCCTTTTCCCAGAGTTTGCCCTCGAATAATTGAATCTAGATGTCATCCACTTCATACTCCTCCTGATTATTATGCTTCTTCAACTCCTATCCTATCTATTGAATTATATTTCTGTTTCGTTCTCTCCTGCGTACCATTAGATTATCCTGTGAAAGGTATTTTGACACTGTTAATCTCTTCAAGGTACGAGCCGTCAATCGAGTTGGCCCAGGACAATGGTCCGAACCGCTGAAAGTGACTAGTGGGGCAGCGCCTCCCGGAGACCCGGCGATACCCTCCGTACACTGCAAGTCCCCATTCCACGTGTTCGTCGAGTGGCTGGAACCCCAAAGCAACGGCGCTGCCATCAGCGAATACCGACTGGAGATGAGTCCCGATGTGAACGAAGAAAAATTCCTCAGCGTCTACCAAGGCCCCCAGTTGAACTACGACGTCAAAGGGCTAACGCCGTTCCATTCCTACTACTTCAGAGTTCAGGCGGGAAACAGCGCGGGGTTCAGCGGGTTCTCTCCCGTAGCCGGGACTATTACTCCCGCCGCGCCCCCCACTGCCATAACGACGTTGAAGGCAGAGGCGACGCCTTGTTCAATAACTCTTCATTGGAACGCCCCCAGCGACAACGGTAGCCCCATCACACACTACAACATCGAACTGGGCGATAAAACTTTTTCGACTGAATCTCCTGTGGTCGAGTATACTATTGAGAACCTTCAGCCTGCGACCAACTACAAAATCAAGATACAAGCGGTGAATATCGTCGGTCCAGGTCCTTACTCTTCCTCTTTGCGGACTGCGACTCTAAGGCTGCCTCCTGCTGCTCCTAGGTAAGTTAGTGTGTACATCCAATACAGTTGGTATAACATATAGTAAACGGTGATTTTTTAAGAGGTATAGGATTTGGTTTTCGAAACAACACAAAAAAATTGAAAAAATTGATGAAATCTTCATTGGAATCTATAGAACGATCAATAAAATTCAGTGTTTGAAGATGACTTCATGCAAATGTTGTCCGCGGCTCCGCTTTAGATGATCCATGCGCAAGATCCAATTTTGGCACACTGTCTCTAACATATCGACCTGTATTTCACATAAAAATGCTTCAGTTTTGGCTTCCAGAGCGTCAGTTGCTGGTTTATCCCTGTAGACATGAATCTCAACATGACTGCACAAGAAATAATCCAAAGTGGTTGAATCACACGATCTAGGCGGCCAATTGACTGGCCCTAAACGTGAGATAAACTGAAGGCGGCTCTTAATTGGGCCACTGATTCGCGTGCCGTATGGCATGTGGCACGTGGCACAGTCTTGTTGAAACCATATCTCAGGCATGTCCAGTTATTCCATTTTTGACCACAAAAAGTCGTCAATCATCACACAGTAACGCTCGCCATCCACAGTTACGTTCCAGTCATTGTCGTCTTTGAAGAAGTACGGCCCGATGATGCCACCGACCCATATCCACACCAGACAGTGACGTTTTCAGGATGCATCGGTAGCTCTTGCAATGCTTGTGACTGGTTTTCACTCCAGATGTGGCAATTTTGCTTGTTAACGTATCCATTCAACCAGAAATCAGCTTTGTCGCTGACCACAATTTTTCGATAAAAATGTGGATCTTCCTCCAACTTTGCCAGCGCCCATTCACCAAATGTTAGACATTGTGAAAGGTCGTGTGGCTTCAATTTTTGCACCAGATGCATCTGGTTTTACACCCAAAACCTTTTGCAAAATTTTCCACGTAGTGGAGTAACAGAGGCCCAATTGCTGCAAACGGCGACGAATCGACATTTCACGGTCATTACGAACACTGACAGATACACCCGCAATATTTTCTTCGGTCCTCACTCTTCGTATGCGTGTTGGTGGTTTAATATCCAATAATTTAAACTGGGTTCGAAATTTAGTCACAAGCTTCCGAATAGCTCCCTCAGTAGGCCGACGAAACTGCCCATAAATTGGACGAAGTTCACGATGCACTTTCTTCACCGAGCATACATTTTGATAATAAAATTCAATAATTTACAAGCGTTGTTCATTCGTAAGTCGATTCATGGTTAAATTATAGACCAAACTGAACAAGTTTAACAATGACAAGACACGGTTCACGCGTGATCTGTCAAAAACAGTGTTGCCAAAAAGATGCCAGCAAAAAATCACTCAATAGTTTTAAATCCATATAAATTGATGAATGTAGTCAGTTTCATTTTACAAAAATCCATGACTTTTAGTTTACCTGCAAAAGGCACTTGAACAGGTTTCACAGCTGTCAGATTATTAGTTCGTGGAACGGAACATTTTGAATGAAGCAACTTTTCTTAGTTTGAAAAAAATTGATAAAATGGAATATGATGTTGATAAAACATTGGATTTTAGCGAAAAAAATACTGTTGAAGCCAAGGCTTATCTTGATAAACATTATTCAGACTTGTTTCCAACAAGATACCGGTAAAAAAATGACTCATTATTATTACATGTACTAGGAAAAGATATACATTTTTTCAACTACTGTCATTTTTCTTTAAGAAGAAGTAATTAGAGAAATAGCATAGCCTCTGTCATGCCCAAGTGTCCTGGCACCAGGTATATAGTCAATCTTGCTCAGTTCTCATCAATTACTTTTTATGTTTTTCCTTGTGCTTCTTTGTCAGACAGTAACCAGACAACATTTTACCGAAAACTGTATTAAAAATGTAGAGTAGGATCTTCTATGGATGGCAATGTTTATAATAATTCGTATTGTTTCAGGTTAGAGTGTGTCGCTGTTGGCCACAACCACCTCAAGCTCAAATGGGGCGAAGGAAAGAACATTGAGTATACTCAGTACTGCATCGAAATGGAAAACCCTCGCAACAAAGAGTACCAATGTGTCTACAAGGGTACTGCTTTAACCTGCAAAGTAAACAGGCTGGAAGAGCTCACCACCTTCAAATTTAGGATAAATGCTAAAAACGACGCTGGAGTAGGAGAATTCTCGAAGGTGTATGAGTTCGCTACCTGCATCGCACCTCCGGCTGCTGTGAAGCTGCCCAAAGTAGCGGAAGTAGATCAGAGAAGTTGCAGCATTTTCTGGTACCCTGCCAAAAACTCATTACAATTACCGGTTTACATTTCTCACCAGTATCAGGATCAATATCGTCATGATGATGCATACTGGATGTTAATAAAACATTTTTTCCTTTCTTCGGTGTATATGAAACGATTGTTAAATCCTCGGTTAAGCCAAACATACTTGTGTGGATGGGTCGTTTAGTAGGTCTTGAAAATACAATGGGCAGTTCAGTTTTATTTTTTCTCATTGTTCCAATTACAGTTATTTTGTAATCCCGGAGTAACTTTTGCACCGAAGGCATAGACGTAAACCAGTTGTCCATCGTCAGGTTAATGCGTGAACCAGAAAGATGTTTACACATTCTCAAAACCAAGTCATAGGTTTTGTTGGAAAGTTTATATGGACCTTCGGGTTGGGATCCCACGTAGACTTCCATGTTTGAAGTATAAAAGACTTTTGCGTCACAAACTGCTAAGATCTTCAGTCCATATTTGTTAGGTTTTGAAGGAATGTACTGGCGAAATGAACATTTTCCTCTAAATGCTGGAAGCATCTCATCAATGGTGACATAGGCCGAATGATTATAACCATTTTGACAATTATTTACAAATTGATCGAATATTGAACGAATGGGAGCTAGTTTATCAAATTTTGTTCGATCTGAGCGTGTTTCTTTATCATCAAAACGTATGCAACGTACAAGAAATCGGAACCCCTGCAAACTCATTGTAAGGAAAAACATTTCTAAGCCATATCCATCTCTTCTCCAAAGATACTCGGCATTTGAACGATTGGAGTGACCAAGACCAGATAAATATAAGAGTCCTATAAAAGCCCGGATTTCAATTTTATCCGTTTGATTAGCATCTCTGTCTCTTATAAAATTTGCTTGGATAGACAATATGTATTTATTCGTACTTTCAACAATAATTCCAATTATCGTGTCATCGAAGAAAATATTCCATATCTTCTCAGCAGTTTTTAAACACTTGGTTGCCTGTGTTGGGCCTGGTAAGCGGAGTAATATGTTATCCTGCCTTGTTCTAACAGGTGAATGTGGGTTCGTTATTTTAATTTATATTATATTTCAAAATACCTATATAAAAAAGTGAAGAAGGTTCATGCTCTACACCTTCTTCCGTATCTGAAATTTCCTGTTCAGAATCACTTTCATGAATTACAAGTTCCTCATTGTCCTGTTCCTCTTCATCGGATTCATCTTCAAAAACAGTTCTTTCACTATCACTATCATCTAGTCCTACATCATTCAAAAGTTTTTGTAAATATGCTTGCTCCTTTTCTCCGAAATCGCTATAACTTGACACACTGTCACACAACAACTGCCAAAAGTCGACTGAACTATCGTAATGATAGATGAAGGTACAAGGCCGTTCAGCCAAATTCGATATGCAACTTAGTGTTTACGTCATAAAAAGGGATGGCCCGGTCTCACAGACAGTGGCGCGACTACCGGAAGGTTAAAACCGATAAGCATCTCTCAAACACGAACTACCTGGCGAATAATGGTATTCAAACTTCGTCACTCGCCATACGATCTAGTTTTGCAAGACTGGCTAAATCAAGAGCTTTCTTATTGGAGAATATATTCGTGAATGGTTTCATGACTTGAACGAATTTATAAGTGAGTTGTCAGAATATTGTTACATCTCACTGGAGATGAGACAAGTTTCTCAATGTATCTGAAAAATGGCAAAATATTAGCTCCCAAAGGCTGGAGAAGCGTATACAAGTTGAAGAGAGGCAATGACAAAGAAACATTTACTGTGTTGCTGTGTTTTTCAGCTGCTGGTGAGACAGCTTTTCCGATAGTTATTACTGATGAATGTTTTCTGGTAAGGCTCTAGATGGTGTGAAGGCGGAGTGAAATCTTTTCTGAATATATTCCTTCAGGAGATGAAGACACTTACTAGGTTGATGAGATGGGTCAAAGAATTATCAAAGATTAAAACCAGAAAACACCTCTCAAATACAAAATACCTAGCGAAAATTTGGTATTCAAACTTCATCAATCGCCATCCGATCTAGTTTTGTAGGACCGGCTAAATCGAGAGCTATTATTATTGAAGAATAATTCCGTAAATGGTTTCATGACTTGAACGAACTTATAACAGATGGATTCTCAGAATATTGTTCCATCTCACTGAAAATGAGACAAGTTTCTCAATGTATCTAAAATCTGGCGAAATATTACCTCCCAAAGGCTGGAGAAGCGTGTACAAGTTGAAGAAAGGCAATGACAAAGAGACGTTTACTGTGTTGCTGGTTTTTGCAGCTGCTGGTGAAACAGCTCTTTCGATAATTATTTCTGATGAATGTTTCCTGGTAAGACTTTAGATAACTAGGTTGTTGAGACGTGCGTCGAGAAGAATATTGCCTTTTTGTTGATTGGGAAAAGTGCCTGTTTTTGGATTGGGGTTACTATAGGGATTATTTCCTCAAGTTTTCAAGGAATAGAATGATATCTTGAATATGGTATATCCTACCCTTAATTTTTTCAGGTCTGTGAATCTTCAGAACCCAAGTGTACCATAGAAAACCTAGAACCCGGTACTGATTACACAGCCAGAGTATGCCCAATTCGAATGACCTCAACTGGAGCACTTCCAGGACCCTTCTCGCCCCCGGTGAACTTCACCACAACATCTTCGGAGCCAGAAGTACCAGCGAAGGCTGTGACTTCTTCTAGCACCTCTTCCCACGCCTCCAAACATCGTTCACTCTATCATTCCATACGGCAGATGGTGAGATGTCCAGAGGAGTACTGCATCTACATGTACGCCATGCTTGTTCTGGTAGTAGGCATTGTCATATCCTTGGGAATAACATCATTTTTGTAATCTTGTGTCATGTGTGGAAATTCGTCCGGTAAGACTTTGAGTCTACCAGGTGTATATGGCTGGTGGGGAAGATTGGAGGAATTTGGGAGGTTTGGGACAAGACAGCACCCGTTGATTGCAAGAAATGACTGTTTGAATTGACTAAAGTTGCAGTAGGAGGTTTAATTATCATGTACCCTACTCAGACGAGCTTCAACACTTTAAGGAGTTTGAATAAAGACTATGATGAGTTCGTATCTAAAATTGATTTAGGGCAGCTTTGACGAATATTAAATTGTAAAATTAATCATAAACTTCAAATAGATGTCTGCAGTTTATATCATAGAAGGAACTATAGTAAAGATTTTCTCTTTTTTCACAAACATGTCCAAAAAATGAGCTGTTCAAGTCATATAACAATTGAAAATACTTTTCCTCAAAACATATATTTCCTTGTATTTTTTTCACTAGTACCTAAAACTTAAAGTCAGTCAACCTTCATGGATATGAAATATACAGTGTACCCAAGAAAGGACAGCCATCATGAAAAAATCAGAAACCGTGAGAGATACAAAGTTCTTTAAATTAAAAAAATGTTTTTCATTTTGAAGCTAACTTAAATTCAGTTTCAAAGAGCATGTGCTCGAATTCCCCTTGAAACAAATATTTTTGTCACAAAAAATCATGTTGTTGTGGGTACATTGACTCCGCTAAATTACGTCGCTGATTTTTTTATTATTGAAAAATAAACATTTAGCAAAAATTTATCAATTCATTTTCAATGCACCATTTTTATTTGTACCTAACGTTACCGCAATTTCGTCCTCTAAGTACATTTTCAAGCTTATACATTAAACTTTGAAAATGTTCTTAAAGGACGAAACTGCAGTAACGATAGATACAAATAAAAGTGGTAAAAAACAGAAAGATTCAATTCTCTTTTCTTCATAATGATTACCTACCACGTAGTAACGACTACATCCATCAGTTCAGTTTTTATTCATTGATCCAACAAAATTAAACAACTTATTCCAAGGATTTTGCTTTGGAAAATAGACTAATCAGTGAACAACACAAAAAAGAAGAACTTCACAGATATTTCATATAGTTTTTGGTGGACCTTTCCACTGAAATTGAGATTCGAGCATGTAGACTAGTACCATTTTATAGTTTTTACAATCATTTTTGTCGCTAGTATATTCAGAATCGAGATGAATCGATTATCGTGACGTCACTAACATCTGATATGAACTTGGCAACACCGGAAAACTCATTCATAGAGCATGATTTTCTTCTTCTTCTACTATTCTTGTTCTGACTGATGGTGTGTGCGACATTGCCAATTTCTTTTTGAGGTCGATTGAAATTGAGATGCATTTCGTACTTGGCAACAGACTTCATATTTGAAATTTCAGTTGAAGAGATATTTGACTGGATACGACTAATTGAAAAGTTATCTCAGATTTCATTCATGTACTTGTTTTGCTTCACAAAAGTCATACATTTCGAAACATGGAGATGCTAAGCCCCAATTATAGTGACATCACATTCTTCTAACTTCGATTTGTGATTGTGAAATAATTTTATCGAAGCCCATTAATTTTTCTTGCTCTTTATGGGATTGTTGAAGTCTTCAGTGCACTGTTGTTTCAAACTATAATTCATGTTATATTGGAAAAATTGAAAGGTGGGCTTCAAAATTCGCCAAATTCATTATTGAAAGAAAGATCTTGAATTTTCATCACTTTCCTTTAGTTCCTTCATCCAAATTCAAGCTAGATGAAGGTTAGTGTTTTCCTTTAATGTACATCGTATCAAATATGTTGTATGTTCCTATGTGCAGGGATTTGCAAACTCTTAGTGACCTTAAGCGGAAGAAATAAATGAATTTTTTTTCTGAATTATTTCAATTTTGATTGATACACCTAGTACATAAGGCCTAGTTTAAGATGAAAAGCTCTCTAAATTATGAACCAGCAGAAACTGGGTTCAAGATGGGTAAAAACCCCTAAAACCTCCATACTTCCAAACCTCGTTCTTAAGTATTAATAAACAGGGCTTTTTATTATGAAATATGATTAATTATAAATTGATTAAATTAGAGGACCAAAGCGTAATGTTTTGGTATTTTTATACATGTTTCCGTACTTGGTGTGGTGCTATAATGTCATTGGAATCGGCGGAAGACCTAGAACTAGTTTATCTCTTCGCAACCTTTTACATAGTGACTGAAAGCTTCTTCAACAGTTGAATTTTCGGGAGAAATAGTCCCACTATTTTCGAAAGAATCCAAGAGAAACAGGTTTTGATCAATAAATTAGAGGACCAAAGCGTAATGTTTTGGTATTTTTATACATGTTTCCGTACTTGGTGTGGTGCTATAATGTCATTGGAATCGGCGGAAGACCCAGAACAATTTTATCTCTTCGCAACCTTTTACATAGTGACTGAAAGCTTCTTCAACAGTTGAATTTTCGGGAGAAACAGTCCCACTATTTTCGAAAGCATCCAAGAGAAACAGGTTTTGATCACACTGTGTAGCTTTGATTTGTAGAGTTTAATATTCAGTGAAAAGTTTGTGGAGGAATAATGGTGGCTCTAGGTCAGCCGTAACCATCGACGAATATTTTATTAGAGATGTGATTTTCTGAAAAGAAATATTGCAGCAGTGACCCGAAAGTGGGGTGTTATTCCAATCGTCATGTACATACTTGATCATGTAACGCTGTTGGCAATATTTAAATTATTATCTAGAAGAAATTTAAGAGTCTGGAACGAAAGTATATACAGGGGGATCTTTTAACCAAGTTTTTTGTTATCCTAGAATATAATAACTCCTTCTTTGTTATTGATTTCAGGTGATTTTATCATTTTCTTCATTTGAGGATTTTCTGATATTTATTGCTTTACTGGAAATTCATACGTTTTGAAAATTTCTGTGGACATAAACTTTAAAAACATTTATTTCGCTTTCAAAATGTGGTTTTCATCGTTGAGGTATATTTTTGAAATAACAACTCTACTTTTCAAAAATGTATGTCCACACCTGAATATATCCTATGATAATCTTAGTGCCTATTAATTGATTGATTATTTTTATATTGACTTAGTAGAAAATATTTGAATATGCGTCAGTTTAGAAGTTCCGTTTGAAATAAATTGGGTACTTTCGAACAAGTTTCATTCGAGGTATTCAGATGATGATTTGTATTGGAGAGAATGATGAAATATTTAGTAGAGAAATTTATACGAAAAATTTGATGGATTACGATTAATTAGTAGTTATAAACATTATGTAGTAGAGCAAAGGCAAACGATTTATATTGGCTGTTGTTGGTCGCCCTGTATATGAAAATTATATATATGAAAACTTGTATATGTTGAACAATATTCATTAAATTATATAAATCTATCGTTAATCTATTATGATCTAATCAGTTTTAATTTAAAGTTGGCTATAAAGGGATGTGTAATTGTGCATTTTGCACTTTATGAACAGAGCTATTATTATTATTATTATTATATAGGTAAATATACATTATATAAAAGAATCAATTATATTTTATCTACTAGAATATTGTGTTTTATTCATAGGTTTATGGCTGTTATGGCTGGGATGTTATGTTGAAAAAAAAGTCGTCTACCATTTAAATATATTTTAATTTGCAGATATTGTACAGCTCAAAACAGATGGTTGGTATAAATTTATCAAATATCTGGTTTATTTTTTCATTATGTGTAGAAAAATAATATATTCATAACATTCAAAACATAGAAAGTAAATGAAGTTCTAAGAAAATAGGCAAGCATTAGCTATAAAAACAATTCGTATTTACAGTGAAATCGATATATATCCAATAAAGCACAACAGTATGTATATTGTATATTTAAAAAATAATCACGATTCAGTCTTTATCTAATATTCACGAAGGAAAAAATCAATAATTTCAGCTCTGAGGATCCAGAAGCTTTAAAAATTATAGTTTTTCCATTTCATAATAAGACCAAAGACTATGGAACATAAATACAGAGCTGAAGTTGTTGGGTCCATGTTTTTACCAAACTCCCATAGATCAGCAAAACCAGCTCTCTTGAAATACAGGACTATCAATACAAGTGTTGAGAGCAGTTGAAGTCATGAAAAAAATCCAAACTTCACTAAGATGAGGTAAATAGAATTCAGGAGATACTTTGAATACAATATTTACAAATAATGGTGAAAAACAGAAGCATGCAATAGAAACAAACAGACATAATATAGAAAAGTTTTTTGAAAAAAAAAAGTGAAAATTGAGCGGGAAACAGAGTTAAGGAAATGAAGAATATCAAGAAATCTGAAAATGATTTATGGAGAAGAATATAAGAAGAAAGGTGAGGAGAGAATGAACTTTGAAATATAGAAATATTTTCTGTTATTCACGAAATGAAAACAACTGAAGGGTAGAAGAAAAGAAAATTTAAGTGAGTTCGAATAAATTCATGAATGAAAAAGTAAGCCAAGTAGTCAAATATCATGCAAATTTAAAAGCTCTTATAAAAAAGGGCTATTGTGAAAAAAGTGAAATAATTCAAAGAAAAAAAAATTGGAGTAGAAAAAAATTTTCAATAATTTTTTTATCTTCAGAAGGTCATTATCTGAATAAAAAAATGTATCAAAGAAGAAGATAAAGCTGAAAAGATCAACATAGAAATAGAGATAAATGATAAACAAGTTCTAATGTGGACTGTGAAAATCAATGGGAGGAACTGGAAAAATTACCAAAGAGAAGAAGATAAAGAATAGAGAGGGATAAATTTCATTTTATTTTGTAGAATTTATGAGTTGGTATATATGAGAATGGAAGGATATATCAAAAAAAGAATATGTGGAATTTTATATCTCAACTGGTGAGAATGGAAGTTTGAAACAGACAGAAGGAAGACACAGTAAGAACTTCCAGATATGCTAGAGTTAGAGAGAAAGCAATTAATCATATAATTTGAACAAATAAGGAACATTGAAAAGTTGTTCAGTTGTGTCAGTAGTTAGATAGTGAAAACAAATACGAAATTAAGAACTGAAAACTGAGTAGTTTAAAAAAAAAAGTCGAGGAAAGTTTGAACCCCAAGTAACACGATAGAAATTAAGTTTGTCTTCATTTTCCAATAAAATAAGAAAGAACAAGCATGTTAGAGAAAATAAAGGAGACACTTTGGAAGGTACATGCAAATACGGAAATTGAAAACCGTAAAGCTCAGATTCTCATTTCGTACCAAGTTCAAAGCAAGGAAAGAAAAAAGAAGGAAATAAATGGAATTGAAAAGATTCACCCATATTCATTCACATTTAAAAAAAGAAATGGCTACTTCAACCCGTTTCCAAATCATGTACATGAGTGAATAAAAGAAATATATTTTACATTCCCTTTCAACCTCAACTGTCTCAACAACAATGAACAACCCACTCCTCAATAGTACCCGAAACTGATATCATGGAGGGGTGTAGAACCGCCAGAAGGAAGAGCATAATCCTTGCTCAGTTGATCCAAAATACCTCCTCGTCCCCCTGATGGAACAGAGGGACTAGGTCTTGGGGCAAAAGATTGTGCTGGTCGCGGTGCTGGAGCAAACCTCTCGGGAGCTGGAGCGAATTGTGGAGACGGCCTTGGTGGAGCGGGTTGAGCATAGTTTATCCTTGGTGGTGGTGCCCTTGGTGCCTCGTAGTCGTCATTTGCTGGAGCCGGCTGGGCAAATTGTACCGGTGCTGGGCGAGGTCTTGGAGCGGGGGCGAAGGATCTCTCAGGGGCAGGCCGGGATGGGATTCCGAAGTCGAAGCTGCTGTGTTGGACTGAAGCTGGGGCCGGGGCTGCTCCTGAAATACACATAGATATTTTTAACTTATTCAAGTGATGATTTCTGGGTGATTTTCACTAAACATTTCACAAAACTGTAACACTTCTTTCATTTTACAATAGTTTCTTCAGGTGTTCTTTGAACTTTGGTTATCCGGACTGGGCCGACGTTGTCCAATGTAAAGAATAACTGACCATACCATACCGTGTTAGGAATCACACGTTAAAAGGTGAGACCTCGTTAGTCCTTAGCTCGCACAAGGTTCTCAACTTCTGAGAGTTGTCGTTCGTATGGGGGCGACAGCTGATTAACGGAAAAACAGATTTTAAAACAGATTTTAAACAGATACTCGTGAATACGGTGGGATGTCGTGAGCGGAGTGGAGAGGTGTGAGCTTAGAATAAAGTATAATCTAAAATGAAATTGAGTTTAACCCAGATGAAGCCAAAATTCGAAACAACCCATAAAATTCAATGAACAAACAACGGGTATCTCTTTAACAAACAGATTTCGCCACCTAATGCAAAATCTACATTGTTGTGATAATGCAAATCTTGCTGCTGGCGACAGGTTTGTGAAATTTCGCTGATTAGTTTATTGGATGAGAATTTTATGGATATGGCTCCACCAGCCGAGCATCATAGTGTAAACGAGTCGATGGTACCCTACTATGAAAGACATTTTCCTTTTTTCAGTCACTTTGATATGGCTGAACAAAACTCCTGGCGTCTTCACAAATTTGAAGGTGGAAATTGGATCATCTTAGTTTTGGACGGTCCATTGCGGTAGGAATACTAGAATTCTTCAAAAAGAAATCAGAAATAAGGACTAGAAGGACTTTCTGTCATAAAAAAGCAACGTTTTTTGTAAAAAATGTACAGTAGCCCTACATTCCAAAGATTGTTTTCAGAATTATCATACTAAAAACTAGTTTGTTAAGCTTTCCATTTTGATATATCTTTATTTTTGTTTTAAGAGTTATTGAGTTATTTTTTTTGCCTTTGGCCTTTTAAGAGGACGCCCAAGTTCTCTTGAGTGACACATGGGAGGGTGAATTTGATAATTTCCTATTAATTTTTCATGACTATGAGTGTACTTTTCAAGCTCTAAATTCATTTTTGAAAAAATGAAAATTCTGGTAAAACAGCAGTATATGCTTTCAAAAGGGCAGTGGCATTATCTGGGTTAAATAAATATTGAAGTGAGATATGAGAGGAATGGCGACCCTCTACGCCAGTAAGCAGGCTGGATGTTGACGGATTCGACGAGGTCTTCAGTTCTGTAAAACATGAATATGTGTATTTGTATTATTTTTATCCAAAAGCCTTCCGAGAAGGAGGTGACCAGTAAAAAACTGAAGTGTTTTTGTGAATGAAGAAACATAGGGTGGCAGCATACTGTCTTGAGCAAGACAGCTGCGCTCCTGGACGACGCTTCTGTTTACTATGGACAGTAGGAGCCTGGCCAAATTTGCTCGAATGAGAAACAACGACCATATAAATTGAAAAGAGAGGGCAGAGGCTCGAACATTGTCTAGTTTTATCGAGCATCGGCGGAGAGCTGGAAACCTTGTTTTGTCGATTTTGTGTTTCTTAAAAATTTCCTCTTATCCTATCAGTAACCTTGTGAATTTAGGACAGGTAAGCTAAGCAAAAAATTGATGCCTGGTTGCGCGTTTACTTGTTAGGTTTCCTTCGACTGGATGCTCTAATCATTGAGCTCCTTTCTGACTCAAGATTTTCACTCAACGAGCCGAACGGATTTGTGAACCAGTGCAACAAGAAGCTATAAAAGTGACATCTGCTTGTTGATTATTTAAATGGGTATGTATCCCATGTTGATCGAAACCAAAGATCGAAAATGAAGCCTTCATGATCCATTATCAGACTGTTTCGTCTGCCATATATGCCCCATCAATAAAGCTAGCATGAACCTCAAATCGATTCTTAGACTCAATTGTTCTTAGAGGTTCAACCTGAGAAGGAAGAAGAAATGCTCGAACATTGTCAAGTATTATCGGGCATCGACGGAAAGCTGGAAACCTTGTTTTGTCGATCTTGTGTTTCTTAAAAATTCCCTTCTATCCTATCAGTAACCTTGTGAATTTAGGACAGGTAAGCTTAGCAAAAAATTGATGCCTGGTTGCGCGTTTACTTGCTAGGTTCCTTTCGACTGGATGCTCTAATCATTGAGCTTCTTTCTGACTCAAGTTTTTTACTCAACGAGCCGGATTCATGAACCAGTGCAACAAGAAGCTATAAAAGTGACATCTACTTGTTGATTATTTAAATGGGTATGTATTCCATGTTGATCAAAATCAAAGACCGAAAATGAAGCCTTCATGATCCATTATTTCGTCTGCCATACATGCCCCATCAATAAAGCTAGGCTGAATCTCAAATCGATTTTTAGACTCAACTGTTCTTAGAGGTCCAACCTGAGAAGGAAGAAGAAATGCTATCTTCTCACACGCCATCTATAGAATGAGCAGAAGACTCATATCACGAACATCAATGATGAACAAGGCTCGCCAAGGCTGTTCTTTGCAAAGCCTGCCAAACGGGATTCGTCATCTGTCTTGAGCGCGTTCACTGCAAGACATCTAGTAGGATCAAAAAATATCTGTAGTCTTTGACGAAATGATCAACAATATACAGTATTATCATTACCTGGAACTTGAGCACGAGGAGGCGCTGGAGCTGGTTCAAACTGTTGTGGTGGCGAGTAACTTTGGAAGTCTTGCTGCGGTTGTGGCCTTGGTCTTGGAGCTGGTGCTCTTCTGGCGGGAGCTTGAGGTTCGTAATAATCCTGATCTTGCACAGCATTTTTGGCACTTTCATCTACAAGAGTGGGCGGAGGAACGGTGATGCCTTCTCCTGATGGTTCGAATCCATATTTTGTTGCTCCATACTCGACTACGCGTACTTTGCCGACATCATCCACATAACCATATTTTCCCTTCACTTCCCCAGTGGGGAGTTTGGTTTCGATTTTGAATGTACCGTCTGCTGCTTCGTAGCCGTAGGTGTAGGAACCATCTTCGTTATGCCTGAAGAGAAAACAATCTGATCATCAGTTGATTCCTAATTTTCCATTGAATATGAACTCAACAGCGATACTAGGTAGCGGCGGAAGCTAAGGTGTTATTTGAAGGAACACTATCCATTCAGAGAACAGACAACTAGTCACTGATGGTGAAACGGTTAATATTGTACTGACCTGTTGATTTGTTTCAAAATAGGAACAGGAGTTGGTCTAGGTGCAGCCGGTCCAGAATATCCTGGTTGTACACGTGCTGGCGCTGGTCTGCTTGCCCTTGGTTCATCGTCATAGTAATCTTGAGCAAAAGTAACTGCCACGAAGGCGGTAAGCACAGCCAACTGAAGACATATAACAATGCAACTTAGACAGAATCAACACATACTTTGAAATTTTACCAGGAGTATCAGAATCTCAATGAAAATTATTTCTAGTGTTTATTGTTTATGAGAGAAGATGTCAATCTGACATCTTCTCTTCAAAATTTCATCAATGTTATCAACCATCGAAAGTCATTAAATCAATTCAATACAGAATACTCTGTTGCTGCAATTCAGAGAAGATTCATTCATAATATAAATTCATTTTCGAATATAAATATTACATCTGTTGGTACAAGAGTATGAAGAAACATCATTTCATGTGAGAACTCGTTTCTTCCTTTTCATAAAAGAGGACGTACGCCTCTCCACTCACAGGCAATTTTGGTACAATTGGTGACACATGTGAATCGTTCTAATCGTGTCACAGCCAGTGTAGGCGTGTCTGCAGTATGCTGTGTAATGCCCGCTGTAAGTAGTCTCACTGTGATTCGAAAGTACATATAGATTATAACGACAAGGAACCACATTTGAAATTGTACTAAAAAATAGATTATTGAAATATTTTGAAAAAAATAACTTATTAGGCAATGCTCAATATGGTTTCAGACAAAAGAGATCTACTATCGGTGCAATCTGCGAAATGTATAAAAGTATTCTAGAAGCTTTTGAGGAGCGTAAATTGTGCTGTGTGAAATTTTATGACAAGTCCAAAGCGTTTGTTACGGTGGACCACGGTGTATTATTACAAAAATTATAATATTATGCATGCCGCCAGCAACGTGTTAAATCCAATGGCGACATAACAAAACCTACAAAAGTCAATTATGGAGTACCACAGGGTTCAGTCCTGGGTCCTGTGTTACTTATTATTTACAATAATGATATGACTTTCAACGTAATGCATCTGAAACCTTTTCAGCAAACTGGTCTAGAAGCAATTATCTCACTATGAATGATGATAAAACCAAAACGTTAGATTTCTCAACTGAGGATAATATAAAAAATAATGAACCAGTCAAGCTTTTCGGAGTGAATTTTGACTCATCTCTGAATTTCTTTTCACAATTTTAGAGCCATTAGGTATTAAATGGACTTACGTTCTTTTGACTCGAATAAAGCTTAGGACTTACGCTCTTATAACCGTCCCTAATAACAAAGGATGAATCTTTAGAGAACATACGTCGTTACGGCCGGATGGACCATGAAATTATATGTGCAAACCACCAATAACCTGAAAACCGCTGCTTTTGGACTTACGTCCATCTGGCTCTGAGGTACAGATATTCACAAATTATCAAAGCGACTATCCACGTGTATATACATGATAAGCTAACTTAGCAACATAATAACAACGGATTGTTTAAGATTAGCTTATTTCTCCATTTTTCACAGCATGACAACATATTATTTCTTTTTGTGATATGTATATGTATCTGTAGCAATTATTGTAGCAATAATGTATAGAATTGTAAATAATTATGGACTATACAAAAAAAGTAGTGAAAATTATGTACAGGCTAAATACGACGATCACTGTGAACCTATTTTCAAAAATCTCCGTATATTAACTCTGCGATCTTGCTTCATATATGAATGTCTGTGTTATGTTAAAAATTCAATGGGTGAAAATAAATTGACCAAGCAGGAGGACATACACTACCATGATACCAGAGCCAAAACAGTAAGGCTACCCAAATATAGATTAGGTAAATCGCAAAACTTTTATTTGTATATTTCTTTAAAATTTTTCAACGTAGTACCATACGAAAACCATCGAAAGTCATTAAATCAATTCAATACAGAATACTCTGTTGCTGCAATTCAGAGAAGATTCATTCATAATATAAATTCATTTTCGAATATGAATATTACATCTGTTGGTACAAGAGTATGAAGAAACATCATTTCATGTGCGAACTCGTTTCTTCCTTTTCATAAAAGAGGACGTACGCCTCTCCACTCACAGGCAATTTTGGTACAATTGGTGACACATGTGATTCAGTTTGATCTTCCTCTTGAAGATGATCACTTGGTGATCGAAACACGTGTCGAGATGTAAAAATAACGATTTGGTGTTGGGAAAAAACTCCAGTAATATTCCTTACTACACCAAAGGTTCCAAACAGTACATCATAAGAATGTTCTTAGTATCAATGGAGGGAAAAGTTACTTCAATCATTTATTGTTTAGTATAACACCAGATTTTTATGTCTGCAAATTTTCTGTTTTCCAAATGAACACTTGCCAATGTTAATACAGGACATATTTCTTGGATTTACATCTTCATTTATAGCAATTGTGCTCTAAAGAACATCATCACAATTGAATGAATATGTGATATTTCAATTTTGCTTAGCTATTAGTCAACTGGGCAGTATAAAGTATATGAAGAATGGGAATTGGAATTGTTTCTTGTGGTATACTTGAAGCTGCTCTTTCAAGCTAGATTTCTCATTTTCAACTTCCACCAATCAAAACCTGTTTGGTAAAGATTCGAAAGAAGTATTGATTCGTTTCTCAACCAATTGTAATGTATAATGAATTAGATCAGTTCGAAGTGTTGAATACAATACCAAAATGAAGCAAAATTGAAGTGAACCCTGATTAGAATTCAACAATCTCAAAGCAGTCGAGTGATCTAATAAACGGGTGTTACCAAGCAGGAAAGTTGACGTTGAAAGTCAAATTGTATTACGCTCGCTAGGCGTGGTCTTGTCCAGTTGACTGCCTTCATAACATCGTCCTCGTAGCACACTGTTACGGTTTACTTCTTGATTTCTCACTTTCGTTGACTCGAAAACCCAAAATCGATTACTTAATGTCAAAGAAACTGGAAACTCGCGATGAAAGTGAAACTAGGTGACATATCCACCTGTGCAGTATGCATGAACGTCTGTGATTTTTATTTCGACAGATCTGTAATTCGTGCAAGGTCTTTCGCCACCATTGTTAAAGCGCATTTTTCTTTGAACAATAATTGTCTAGGGTATGGAAACTGCATTAGAATGTACGTCGTTTATTAGGAGACTAGATCTGATGCAGTTCAGTAACCTAATGACCTTGATCGGAATAAAAACTACGCGAAAACCTATGTCCAATACGTCCCTTCGATATATTTAAAGTCTCAGCTTCTCGATCAACTTCACTTCGAGGTCATCAAAACTTATTTTGTGTCATGAGCTTCAACAATTTTTTTTTCGCCAAAAAATAATGCCTCAATCACACACGAAATCACTTTTTATTCAATCTCTTCAAACTAACAAAAGTTGAATTCCGATAGCTATGCCATTCATCGTTACTGTGTCATATTTCACAACTTTTAACTCTCAATAGTTGTAACAGCCTTTGCCGAGTTTTTTTATTTATGGTGGATTCGCCGGGCCACGAAATTACAAACTTCCCAAAGTCCCAAAACAACAATGAAACGGATGAGTTCTTCGGAATTAAGGAAAAAAAAGGTCACTGGCATCACAGTCAGTCAGTGAGGGTCAGTCTTCATTTATTGCTGAAAAATCATCTTTGAATTTCAATCACATTTCAATTCAGTACGAAATTAGGAACTAGCATGTTTATTACATCTTCTATAAAACGCAGAAGTTGATTTTCAATATCTACAGTCCGGCAACCATTCAATGTGCAGAATATAATACAAGTTTCGCTAGTAACCTTAACATAAATAGATATATTTCCTCATACACTGCACATGTAATTGCCTGTAAACCTTCATTCATTTTTGTTGCTGTTAAAGCAATCAAGCGATAATGAAAATGAAATCAATCAACGTGGGTCAACTACATTTACTGACTTCAATAGTCAGTGCCACAGTTGAAGATATTTTAAAAGGGGTCGTGAATAACATAATCACTCTGGTAATTGTTCAAAACTTGAAGAAAATATATGACTATTGTTTCTTCTGATATAAAGTTCATGCGTACAATTTTTTTTTTGTTTTGGTTACATACCAACATTTTCTGTTTCCATTTCGACTGTTGTTTAGGTAGTTATTCCAATTTCATTTTCATGCTAATCATTGATAACATCTTCAAGAGTGAAATATACAATCAATGATATCTTTGTAGCTTTTAATATACAAATTTTTCCAATCATATTTAACTCAACGAGTTCACGCGGTTTTTCATGGTTCAACATTATTCTCTAGTCAGGAAATTACTTGTGGTGTACCTCAAGGTTCAGTTCTGGGGCCACTTCTTTTCATTATTTACATTAATGATATATTTGAACATCTTCATTACATTAATGGTATTTTATTCGCAGACGACGCTACATTTTATCATTCCGATTCAAATTTAATAAATTTGAAAGAAAAAAACTTGTCAATTTTGCCAAATATAAATAAGTGGCTGATACCAAATGAACTAACACAAAATGAGACAAAAACTCAGGAAATAACCTTCACTATGAGCAGTAAATTGAATCAGCATGACTCCGTAAAACTTTTAGGTATAACCTTAGACCAGTCCCTCAAGCGGACAGAACATATTGAATGCCTAGCAAAAAAACTATCTAGTCAACTATTTTTGCTAAGGAGACTCAAAAAATCAGTTAGTCCGGATGTGCTTCTGATCTCATATTTCTCATTATTCCATTCTCATGTATCTTATGGAACCGTGTTATGGGGCAACTCTACACATGCTCATCGAATCATGACATTACAGAAACGTGCTGTAAGAATAGTCGTTGGTTTAGGTCTTCGGGATTCTTGCTGGAATTACTACATTTACTGACTTCAATAGTCAGTGCCACAGTTGAAGATATTTTAAAAGGGGTCGTGAATAACATAATCACTCTGGTAATTGTTCAAAACTTTTTTTTTGTTTTGATTACATACCAGCATTTTATGTTTCCATTTCGACTGTTGCTTTGATAGTTATTTCAATTTCATTATTATGTTAATCATTGATAATATCTATGAGAGTGAAATATACAATCAATGATATCTCTGTAGCTTTTAATATACTTTAAACTCATGTTTCTAGTCTTATATCAAAGATTTTCAACATTGAGAGTTTTAAACTTCTTCTGAATCAATTCTTTGTAATCACTTCAACTGTAACCTGGGGGTATTTTATTGCAAATAGATTTTCATTTGAGAATTTTATATTTATTGAATGCTTGAAATGTTTTCAATAAGAATCCAGGTGATGTATGATTTCATTTACTCATATGATCACTGAGGATGCCGATGAAACGAAATGACTAGATAAAATTTACAGCTATACCTTGCCAAAAACTTGTATTGAATGTATTACTCTTTTTTTTACTCAATCTTTGTAAAGCATATGTCGAACAAAATAAAAAATATCGTATGAATGGAAAAAACTAACTGGAAATTCTGACAGAAAAATGTTTCACTGGAACAAGTCGAAGAAATTCCTTTGAAAAATGAAGACGAAACTCCAAATCACCAATTTGTTCTGTCACCTCCAGTATATAGCGTTTCGACTAATCGCTTTTATTTCAGGGTACAACCAAAACGTTGCTGGGAATGAACTATTGGAAGATGATACCA